AAAGGGCGTGGTTACGTACATATATGTGAATGTCTGATTATTTTTTCCCTCCCCTTAAAAACGATATGTGCCTAGTATAGTGTAGAAGTACAGCAGTGGAGCTCCTTGTGAAAGAGTTCGTCCAGGCCACCTTATCTATTTCTGCCGCCAAGCAGTAATTGCTGTGTTCCGGTTTTAAAGGGTAAGGATGGTGGTGAAATTACAGGCATTTGGGACTTATTAAATTAGATCCAGGGCGACGGGCGCAGTGGTAGTGCCCTTCAGATCTTTGCAAGTTAAAGCTCTGAATGGCACTGTTACAGTTATGGACGGGCGTGCAGCTTACCATCAGGCGCACGACTTGTTCGTCCCGTCACTTGATGTACAACAAAGCTACAAGTAATCATAAGTAATAGGTGCTTTTATCACACGGAAGTCCTAAAAATAATACGAATTACGTGTAACAAATTATGTATATATGAAATTTACGATTCTCCTATTTAAGCATATAAAAGGTTACAACTTTATTTTACTCGTGACCATGGGACCTGGGAGTCTACTTTCGGTCTCCGTCAAACATCCGTCCGAAATAAATACTGTCAAATAAGTAACAGCAACAATGTAACAATGTCAAGTATAAAGCTTCATTCGCATCATACGTTTTCTAATTCAGTCGAGTATTACTTATTGCACAATAATTATTTCGTCAGACGGAGAACGAGAATGTGTTTATAATTCAAAAAAAGTGCCTCCGTATTATCAAAATCAAACAATTTAAAATCTTATCTTTAGTGTCCATTTATATTCTCGAGATTTGTAAATTTGTAAAACAGCACCCTGGTTTCTATACCAGTCTTGACGACATGCCCCAAGAACATACTTTTAGACTACGCAATATATTGCTTCTGCCACAATCTCAGCTACAATTACAGAGCTCAGGTCCCCACTCAATGTCGGTAAAGATATTCAACGGTCTCCCGCCAATCATTAAGAAAAAAAAAGTGTTCACTCTTTCTTAATAAATTGAAATTATACCTAATTAATAAATGTTACTACAATTTAAGTGAATTCAATGACAAAATATAATATTGTAATAAATTTTAAAAATTAAATTAATACATAATAAATAAATTTTCAATTAATTTAATTGGAATTTTCTCAGCGACATACTTTTATTATACATATATATTGAACAATTGAAGTGACTAATCTAAACCTCGGCCTGGCTCTGCTCTTGTTGTTATCCCTAAGACAGGGCTCATATGTGTAACATTATTTTAATTTTTAAAACCTTATGTACCATATGAAGACAATAAATATATTGAGTATTGAGTGCAGGGCCTGAAAAGAGCCCGACAAACAAGTATACGCGATTTAGATCCGAAATAAAAAACCGACCTCAAAACTCAAAAAGTCATTCATCCCCTAATGTCCACCTTTGAGATGGAATATTTTCTTCAAATTTGAATGAGATCATTGAGGTACCCTCTTTCCAACAAAAAAGAATCATCAAAATCGGTTCACAAATGTGTTGTTGGAGTTATTGCGTAACATACATACAAAAGAACATACAGTCCAATTGACAACCTCCTTTTTTTTGAAGTCGGTTAAATTATAGTGTAATTTCCTGTAGATGTACTAAAACGTAATAACTCGACACGCAAAACTAATTGCGTTCGTAGAATCTTTAAATCTCTCTATTGAAAAATTGTCATTTTGCAGATATGGCCCTATTACACCGAGAGAGCATTATATTACGAATCTTGAACAATAACAATTGTTTTTATCATTGAGAAGACCAGAATATATACATACCAATGTGTTCTGGTTCTAACGTGAACTGAAAACTTGTCTAAGACTTTAAAATGCTCCCAGAGTTATGTAAAGAACTAGTCGTTCTTTAAATAAAAAAAATCGCATTTTCGTGAACTGAATTTGTAACTCTTCACTTTCAAATAACAAAACTAAAGTTTCTTTTACTATTTTCCAACTTCACGCGAGTTAAAACCCAATAATTTCCTTCAACTGTCTAATTTAACAGTGGCAGTTAACTTTAATTTAGGCGGGTTAAAAAATAAAAAGAATCTATTGTTTTCGTTGACGAAACTCCATGGAGGCCGGCCACAAAGAGGTACTACGTAAAAACAATATTACATTCACAGTTGTAAAAAACACTACCATTAAACGTTTACATGTAAAATAACGAAAACAGCGTTTAGTTCAATATTTTCCCATCTGCACTGTTAAGTTGGTAGTTCTATACATTTTGTTAATTGACACAACGGTCGTACTTTAATTACTGAGTGCCGTACTGATCTGATAACTGTAGCCTTTTATTTACATCGTCGTTATGGTATTAAAAAGCTTTTTCTATCCTATTTCATTTATGGTAATGTCCATAGATGGAACACGGAAGGAACTAGGCGCCGCTCTGTTAACATTACGTTTGCTTGGGTATTATGCGTGCGCAGTGTTTTTGTGAGATTATACTTGCCTTGCTACACCACGCTAACAGTCATAGCCCCGCACTAGGGAAACCCTGTGCCGCGGGTGCCATGGACACACACACATAGACAACCACACATTACATCCAAACTCACGAGAGAAATAAATGTAGGCCGCACAAATATTTTTCCCGATCCGGAAATCGAACCCGGGAACTCTATGTAGCAGACCAGCATGGTAACCGTTCGGCCACAGAGGCAGTAAAGTATATACGAAGGCATACGGCGACTAAATTTGTAAACCTCGTAACCTCCATTAATGTAAACTTTTGAATAGGCACAAAAAACAGAATTACTAGAAATAATTACATATAATGACCATCTATGATTATAACTTTATTTTATCATTAGAAAAGGGTCAAGCAATTATATTTTAACCTTTGAGAGTCGACACTATCTCAGCTCGAATAAAAATTTTTCCCGTACTGTTCTACTAATACGGTTCATTTTGCTTGGGTCGAACGATAGGGTCACTGTCTTTATTTCAGAATTAATTTTTTTACAAACGGAGTTAAAGCCATTCGAAAAATGTATATCATATAGTATATCATTTAGTCGCAGTAGAGCTTCTTGTGAAAGAGTTCATCCAGGATATTACTGCCACCTTACCAATTTCTGCCGCCAAGCGGTAATGTGAACATTACTGCGTTCCGGTTGTGAAGGATAAGGGTGCTGGTGAAATGACAGGCACGTGGGACTTTTCAACTTATGTCTCAGGGTGATGGGCGCTCAGGCAGTGCACCTCGGATCTTTGCGATTTAAAGCTCTGAGTGGCACTGCAACTGTTATAGACAGGCGTGTCGTTTACCATCAGGTGCACGACTTGTTCGTCCCAACACTTAGTATCATAAAAAAATACACAAATGTAAAGTATATACTTATTGAACACAGCGGTTTTCTTGTGAAATTTCGAAGTACATTTGTGTTTTTTTTCTATCGTCAAAATTTTTTGGAATCGAATTTTCACACCGTATAGTAATCAATATATTTCCTTAATTTTTCTATATATTTTTCCGAAGTGATTGGTTCAACACTTGCACTATTAATCAACCAAAGCCATTTTAGATAATGCGCTTGAAAGATAAAAAGACATTTCGCCCAAAAACGGCATTACGAGTTTTTCAAATACTGCCTTTTTCGATGCCAATTTCGAGATATTGGCACCTAAAGTTGTATTGTCACCAAAATAAAATATCAATTACGCTGACTTTGCTTAACAATAAAACTGAAACTAAGTAAGATATAAAAAAAAACTGTTTACGGATGGTTGTAGATCTTGTTTCGCTAATCCTAGATATGCAAATAACTCAATTTCGCTAAAAATGTTGATTACGTTAGCTATGATAAGGAGTATGGTTCACGCCATTTTTCCATCGGGGCTGGCAGAGACAACAGCCTGCGTCTTGTTACGGTCCTGACACACATCGATTGCCTCATCAACACACATCAGTGCTTGCATACATGCTCGGCAGTTAAGGATGCTCTTGTCCTGGCCTTTTTTTAGGACATTATTAATTTGGTCATCGCTAATCCGCCTTTGTCGGACCTTATTAAGCGGACCTTATTAATCACACTCTTTGCTTTACAGGTACCGAAAAATTAAAGAAAACGCTTTTTTTATATATATATAATATCGATATCCATAAAAATCTCCAAATTATGTACCAGTTGTAAGAAATTCGCCATCTTTCTGCAGATAAAACTCTTATTAAGTTTATACCTTTTTTGTTATTGAGATTCACGTGCAGAAAGATAGTGATTTTGTTACCATAGCTATTATGTTAGCCATACAAATTAATGACTTTTGGTGGAAAATGTCACTTATGTGGTTTTACCTTTAAACAGACGATCGAACAAGTTGTGCGCCTAATGGTAAGCTACACGCCTGTCCATAACAGTTGCAGTGCCACTCAGAGCTTTAAATCGCAAAGATCTGAGGGGCACAGCCACTGCGCTCGTTACCCTGTGACATAAGTTGACTAGTCCCATCTGCCTGTAATTTCACCCTTACCCTTCAAAACCGGAACGCGTTAATGCTGACATTACTGCTTGGTGGCAGAAATAGGAAAGTTGCCAGTACTACCCTGGACTAACTCTTTCATAAGTACCTCTACTGCTACCAATAAAATAATAATAAGCATTTACTATTCTATTCTAAGTGATTCTGTTAAGTTGTATTAATACAAACTACTATCTAACTTCAAGAAAGGGGATTTTATATACAATTTTACGAATTCTAATTGGAATCAGATGTAACGTGTGTCATGTTTTAAAATTTGTTCTTATGGCTCTTTCATTTCAGCATAAAACTTTTATTGTTTCTTTGTTTCAATCTAAAGCTTCTTAATGTATTCTAAACGGCGCGTCATTCAAATTCTACAAAATCTTCCTTGTTCATTCCTAAGCTATAAATCTCCACTCAATAGTATCGAATAAAAAGCCTCTTAGTTTACCCAGTTTAAGGGAAAATATTTTAACGAAGCACGTTAGGTACTGTGAAAGAAAAAATATATTTACCATTCGTCCCATTCAGTCCAATAAGAAGCAAATGCACGAGCACAAGAAACACAAATTGGTTCCTTCCATTTATGGTGTTATCGCACTCATTAGCACCTACATCCACCATACTGCCACTAAATTACACTTAATTTCCACACCTTTGATAATTTACATGTTTAACTTTTCACTCTAGCCACTAGGCGCACTATTTATTTTTTTCACTTGCCTTTATAAACGTCATCGGTTTTTGAAAAAAAAATTTAAATTGTCATTCGAAAAATTTGAATTTGTAAAGTTCGGTATTCAAGCGCGGCATCGCGGGGCGCGTTCAGATACGCGCTGCTAGACGACCAGTCGGTTTGAAGTCTTGCGTCGTACTATCACGCACACCTCCCTCCCTCATCTCAGCTCTGTTTACACTCTCCTAAATGGGGGGACAAAGGCGCCTCGCCGCTGGTCTTCTGCTAGTTTTAAAACAGTATTTACCTGTTTCGGAATATGAACCCATATTTGGAATTTATGTAAGTGTTAACGCCTTGAGTTCGAAAATTATTTCAGTGTAACACTTTATGCTCTACTATATTTTACATTCACAACGCGCTGCTTTTTCTAGAATTTAATTTTGTTTTCTCATTTTACACAACAGTACCTTCATTTATTGGTCGTAGTTATGTAGTTCAATCGACGCATTAATAATTTTAGAACTATTACTGTAGGGTGATAATAATAATGACGACCTCGGTGGCCTAACGGATTACATTGTGGGCGCTGCATGCGGTGGTCCCGGAATCGATTCCCGGTAGGACCAATTTGGGGAATGAACTTTTCTAAATTGGTTCTGGTCTGGGTGTTCTGTGAAGTGCCCCAGAATGAGTTCCATTACTCTGGTACTCGTACAGGGATTAATACAGGGACTTTCTAGTTTGAGACCTGGCAATTGGTATGGTTGTTTGACACATATTATTACATTATCAGACATGAAACCAAATAATAGTGATATTACAGGCACATGGGACTTTTCAACTTATGTATCAGGGAGACGCAGTGGCGGTGCCCCACAGATCTTTGCGTTTTAAAGCTCTGAGCGGCATTATAACTGTTATGGACAGGCGTGTAGCTTACCATCAGTCGCACGACTTGTTCTTCCCTGTCGTAACTCAAAATTGTGAAGTAGAAAAAACACAATTTGAAAATTTTAAAAATGATCAATACATGGTACTGAAAAAAATGACCTCAAGAGTCATTCCCTTTCCCTTATTTTGCCACCCTTAAAGTGGAATATTTTCTTCAAATTTAAATGGTACCACTTCTGAGATTCACAAAAGGAGTTATCGCGTAACATACATACAAAAAAACATACAGCGAATTAAGAACCTTCTCCTTTTTTTTGAAGTCGGTTAAAAATACGGAATGAGTCTTATTGCAAATAATGTGATTATTTTTAATTATACGTAACACTTAATTATGCATTTTTAACAAGAATATAGTTTTTTTAAATTTTCAAATCGTGTTTTCTTAATTCCACAACTTTGAGTTTTTTTAATAATACCAAGTGACAGGACGACAAGTCGTTATCCATAACAGTTGCAGTGACACTCAGAGCCTTAAATCGCAAAGATTTTTGGGGCACTGCCACTGCGCCCGTCACCCTGAGACATAAGTTGACAAGTCCCATGTGTCTGTAATTTCACCAAAACAAAGTTAGGACATTATTAATATAAACCCTGCTTACTAACTTAAACGTCCTTGTGTACAGTTGAACTAAATTTCAAAGCATAATTTTTAATAAAATCAAATGTCTTTAATAAGTAGATCCGAGAAGTAGAACCAGGTATACACAGCATTGAAAATGTAAAATCACCGCTTTTGTTCGAACCCCTGCGCTAAAAAATCTCAAAAAACTTAATAAAGGGCGAGGAAATAAAATACTGCTTATTTCATTGACGCATTTGTCGAGTTAGCGCAAGCGCACGTGTATACAGACTAAGCTTAAACAAGCAGTAAGTTAACAAGGTTTTAGTGCTCTGTGGAATGGCTGTCGCATTATTATTAATAACTTGCTTGATGTATTTATTATTAGAAAAATAATAATTAATTTTTTCAATTTGTATTTAATACCATAAGTAAGTTAATACAGTCTCAGGGAAACCATCTTTCATAAAATATAATTGATTTAAATTTGTAATGTTAATTTAAGACATAATATCAGCTGCAAGATGGAGTACTACATTTTATTATGTAACTATAGGCGCCGACAAAAGCACGGGGTGGGATAAAAAGCGTTCTAATTTGAAACCGGTCCCCCTCGGGCGCGCACGCGCATCCCTTTGCCTTTCGTATCCTGAAGAGGTCATTCACAGATCGCACAATGGCACCCATCGCAACACACACGCAACTGCACTAAAAGGTGACGCATAAAGTGCGTTTAAATCTTTTTACGTTTAAAAAAATAACGCGCACAAGCCGTCGTGTGAAATTGTGAAGGAATGATTATCAGTATTTGCTGGTTTATTAACACAGTTTCACTTTATTATACATTTTCCAATCATTTACTGAATGACAGTGACTGAATCAAATACTAAATAAAAAGTCACGGTAGCCTAATTTAACTGCCTCTGTGGCCGAACGGTTACCATGCTGGACTGCCACCCAGAGAAAAATATTTGTATGGCCTACATTTATTTCTCTCGTGAGTATGGATGTAATTTGTGGTTGTCTATGTGTGTGTCTATGTCACCTGCGATACAGGGTTTCCCTAGTGCGGGGTTATGAGTGTATGCACGTTATTATTATTATTATTAATGGTTTAATCTACCGCCTCTAAAGCAATGGTCGTGGGTTCGAATCCGTGCGCGCATCTCTGAGTTTCTCGGAATTCATGCGCCAAATTTAATTTGCAATTTACCATGAGCTTTTCGGCGAACAAAAACATCGTGACGAAACCTGCTCGTCGAGGAAGGTTCACAACCCTCAGAAAACGTGTGAAGTCTCCAACCGTCGCCTGAGAGGAGACCCGTACTCAACAGTGGGACGTATAAATGGGTTGATAATAACTGAATGATAATGACCGTCTTAAAACCTTAAAGAATTTTTGTTAGTATACCGTAATACACTATGTTTGAAAATGCCTACATTAAAAGCATTGACTTACAATTATATTGACGTCGGGTCCGCGCTAAAAAGTGTCCGAACTTATTGGGCGTTAAAAACGTATACAGAGCGTCATTCACGCTTTAGTCTTCGTTTGTTCGACTGACAGCGAAGCAAGCAAAATTAGACAGTACTGCGATGACATTACAATTTAAATTCAACGTTTTAGCTTTTTCATATTCCTTTACATGTCACTACGTTTAAATAGGTTGACTTGGGACATTTTTTTCGTGGTTTTTGTATTAGACCCGTCGTCCATTTATTTGTAAGTCAATGATTAAAAGTCTTGAATTTATCGGGTATTTTGAAGTATATACTTAATAATACCTTCTTTGACGAACTCCGTGGTTGAGTCGCTTGCATACTGATTTTCATGGTGTCTCTGAGATTCCGGGTTCGATCACCGGCCGGGTGGACCAATGTAGAATAACTAACTTCTGTGTATTAT